TGGTCAATATGTTTAACAACAGCTGTCAGTGTACAAAAGGTTGTATAACAGCCTGGTCAGCATCTCACCTTGATCTCTGAATCCCTTTTGTTATTTAGCACAAAACAACAACAAGCCTTTCACAATAATGGCCAGCAAATCAATAGCAAAGCTCTCACTTAAAAATGTTCACCAGTCTAAATAGATAGTTTCCTTTGTCGGTCTATTACGTCCTTCTGTTAGTATCCAGTGCGCATTGGTGGCTGCTATGGGGCATATGTATACATGTATACTGTTAACCTTGGGAAATCTTTGAGAAGGAGGAGGATCAATAAGTTGTTGTATAAGAAATGTGATGACAAGATTTAACAATTGTTATTGGAAAGCAATACAAGTATACTGAATGCAGAGTTATAGACACAATTATTCCACATTTCTAAACATCCAAGGTTTTCATGTTTTGGTTTCATAGAGCTAGAATGTAGGCTTAAGAAAATATGTATGATCTTTTAACAGAAAGTCAAGAAAACTTTGATTTTGAACAGAAAGGGAAAGTCACTCTTCAAGCGTATAAGATGTGATCTGCTAGCGTGACAAACTGCATAAGACTCAGTACAATTTAATTCCCAAATCCTTGCAGAATTACAACCAACAAGGAAATTGATATTAATCTGTGCTACAACTGGTTAAGCTTGAAGAGGGAAGTAGATTTCCAAACACCTCTGCAGGCACTCAATGCTCATCATGAGCTTCATAAATCCAACAGGCAGTGGTGGGAAGAGATGCACTGAATTTATGGAGCCGGAGCAGAAGGAAAAGCATGAGCATGAAGAAATAAACTTGACACATAAGTGACATACAGGTGGCGGTGAGTGTTTATGTGCGTGTGTCACTCCTGTAAGAGTTATGTGGCACTGTGTGTGCTGAGGATATGCACTGTGACATGCAGGTTGGTGACGCACTGCAAAAACGTGTCATCTGTAATGCCGCAGTGGAAAGATTGCGAGACAGGCACTCAGAGAGGAGATGAGAGGAGAGGAGATAGAGGCAGCCGGAATTAATTAAACTGTAAATCAGTTGCAGTTTGTTGTGTGCGTTCACTGACTTTCCCTAGGAGAGAGAAATAAACCTGAAAATTACAGTGATGAATGGACTGCAGGTAAACGTATAAAGCACATAAGTGTGTTGTTAAACTCATTAGCCTTCGTTAGACTTCCCACCCACACAAATCCTCAGCTGTTCAAGGTATCCACAAGTGGGCAGACATTATCTCAGTTATGGGAGATAAACGAGAGGTAAATGCATGAACTCCTTCTGGTTCACTTAACATCGTCATGTTTACTCAGATAGAAACCTATACATCCTCAAACTGCTTCCCTGCATGCGTATTATGTCACAACAAACTAAGTGCACTGTCTGAATATTTCTTCTGGTGGAATAATAAGTGAACCCAGACCCTGTTTAGCATTGCAGATCTAAATAGCTCAGAAGGTCAAATACATCAGAGTAAAAGCAGAACCCCACAGAACGGAAGGTTGTTTTAAGAAATGTCTTTATAATGGAATAAAAATGTCAACATAACAAAATAAAGGATATAAAATACAGCAGCCAAACCCTGCCAGTTTGCTCTGTGATGCTAAGGTCACCAAGTGTTTCAGTGGGACCTGTTTTAATTCTTATTCTACCGCTCTCCAGGCCTTCAAGGTAATTGGCAATCTCATTCCAACTACGCTTGATTTAGCACCCCTGTAAATGTTTTTAGTGCTCAAGAAGTTAGCATCGGGTGAAGCGAGAGCTTTCCTACTCTCATGAGTTTCTTAGTGACATTCAGCAAATGAATAGGAACTTTTTTTTATAAAACTGGTAATGGAATGTGGGTTTTCTCTATAAGCTTGGCAAATAAACTATAACAAGTTATTATATAAAGAAAAATAGAAAGTTGGCTGTCTATGAAGACTTTCTGTATGTGTGTTCAAATGGCATTATGTTTCCCTATAACATAATAAACATGTAGGTCTGTCCCATTAACATAATCAACTTGTTACTGTGACAACAAAACAACACATTGGACCATTACTGTGGAACATGTTGATCATACTGTATGTACAAACCATCTGTGGGGCATTAATAATTCATTAGTTGAAGATTAGGTACATTGGCACTATTGGTGCTTCAGCAGATGATACCATAATTCCTCTGTGACTCCCAGTCATTCTGTTCGGTGCCAAATTAAAGCAGATTCAGTGCAGTTTCAAACACTGATGTGTACACGTGGGAGTTAAGACACAATGCAGACCTGAATTAAAATGCCATCTGAAGTGCTGAAACACTTTCAGTAAATGATTGGACTGATATTGAAAAAGTGGGGGAGGGGAGGGGGGTCTCTCGATTAGAAATTCCTCTCACTTGAGATTCCAGTCAGCCAATTGTTCAGAATCATTAATTCACAGAAAACTCTAAAGTTAGTACAATTGCGCTAAAGTTCCTTCCAGCTCTGTCAGCAGTTGATCCAGCACAATTTCACATCTTCAGCTCCTAAAACTGCACACCAATCACGGCCCTCAATGCAAATGTCAGAATGATTTTACAACAAGGTGACAGTGATCACTCACATATGTATCAGTTTGTGTATGTGTGAGATCTGAGATTGATGTTCTTAGGATGCAGCATAAACATCCACACATACAGTATGAACATCTGTATGTAGGTAGGATACTCTTTAGGATTCATCATGTATTTTTGTTATATAGGAATTAAAAATGTTTCCCCAATATTTAAGTTATTTCTCCAGGAATAATAACTATTTCTATTGGTAGAGAAATGGCAACCCAAGAGGGTGGGTTTATTTTACTAAGGCTTTTGGGACCATTTTAATTCATATATTCATATTTTCAACCGTCAGATTTATCTCAATATAGAGGGGATAAGGAACTATCTAAGTTCTATGGTTACTCTAATCATTAATAATTCCTTCTTTCATTCTTTTGTTTGATGGAACTTTGTAATAAGAACCTTGTAGGATTTAAGTTGGCTTCGTTATGTGTCGAAGATACATTTATTTATTTTTTACTTTTATTGTCATTACATAGTACAGGTACTAGTAACTAAACGGTTTCTCTGCATTTGACCCATCCTAGTGTTAGGAGCAGTGTGCTGCCATGATTATGTACGGCGCCCGGGGAGCAGTGTAGGGAACGGTGCCTTGCTCAGGGACACCTCGGTAGCACTTGGTCTTGCCGGGACTTGAACTGGTGACCTTCCAGTTGCCAAGCCAAGTCCCTATGGACTTCGCCACCACCAAATTGAAGTGGTGGTTTTGATTTATCCTGCTGGATTTGTGATTTATATTGATTTTATGACATGTCACAACAATGAGGTGTCACCTATTGACACAACCGTGAAAAACAGAAACAAAAATACATGTCGAATGATCAATAAGTCGAACACTTGAATTTAACATCGACTCATTTTCAAGAGAGCATATGTCAAGAATTTCAATCATGACAAACTGCAGGTGAAAGATGACAAAGATAGAAATTGAACGTTGAGGAGAAATGCTGCAGCGGTACCTTGGAGCTGTGTTGAGTAGGTGGCCTAGTTCTGAGGGATGGTGACTGACAGAGCCTGATGGACAGATGATCCACACATCAGACATAAGCAAGAAGCGGTGAAGACAGGTGGATGCCCATGGATTCCCACTGTGCAACAGTCAAGCTATCATAGACCTTCAAACTGGTTAGTTCACTAGAAAAATACTAAGCCATTGGTCGCAGTCTATGCAGGAAGTAACCTAAGAATCGTGATGCTGGTGGTTTGTCCTCACTGCTTCTCTTCTGGAGGAATGGTTTGTAAAATGCAAATAAAGATGAATACAGTCTACACAAATGCAACCAGTTGTATAGTTATGTTCTTCATCAGTTTGCAAATAAAATATGTCAGGAATTGATTCAAATATGCTATATTTGGGATTTTGCAAAAGTAAAATGATGAGAATGAGAGCATCTTGGCTGATCTGAAAACTCATCGGAGCAGTGTGTCAAACATCAGATTTTGTGAATGTTTACTGCCGTAACATTTCAAAATAATTTAAATAAAATGTAAATTTAGGCCCAATCCCAAACCACTCCCTCGACCCTACCCCTCCGTGACGGAGTGAACTCCGTCTGTAGCTACACTCGCAGCTCAACGAGGCTCCCTCCTGTCAGATGGAGGGAGTAAATACAGCGGCAAGCTTTGGGACGGCCTCCCCTCTCTCCGGCAGAAACAGGAAATGCCGTAACTGTATGTAACAACGGTTTCAAATCAGCATCTCTTAGACAAAAAATGTAAATTAATAACTCAAATAAAACTACAAACATCTTTCATTGTGTTACTTTTTCTGTAAAGCTCTTTTAGTTTTAAACCTGATGTTTATAAGCTTCTTAGTTTTTGCAACAGTCTGTAAATATACACAACTTTATAATAAAATGCACACATTTACCTTTTTCTAGACTAAACACAGGTACGATCCTAAGTTAAAAAAATATGAGGTTATCATGAGGTTGTTAACATCGCAATTTATCAGTGGATGTTTGCTGGAACTACTTTTTAACAGCGTGTTTCCTGACGGACACACACAGCGTGACTCCGGTCAGGTAGAGACCGGTCTCAAGTCAGCACCGATGCAGACTCGCTGTTTGAGGGCTTGATAGCCCACTCCCCCTCCACACCGCTCCACACTCGTTGGTTTGGAACAGCACTTAATGTGGAGGACCCTCCGCGCGAACGCGCAAACGGAGGGGTAGTGTGTAGGGGTAGGGTGTAGGGGGCGGTTTGGGATTGGGCCAAAGAGACACCTTTGCTTTCCCAGGGTCTCCATGTTTGCAGTTGGTTCTGATAACAGTAGGGTTTTAATCACATACTGGCTTGTACTCATTTAACCTGAATCCTTCTTGAATATACCCCTAATCTTTTGCAGACTACACAGGAGACAGCGTGCATATTTTTAAGTGAGACATAAAAAATGACAGGTGATGAGACAATTCATGTACTGGTGTCAAAGATGTAGAACAGATCGAGGAGAAAGTAATGTCAAGACAAAAGTCAGGAGGGAAATAATGGATGCCCATTGTGTGTGTAGCCATCATTTCCTTTAACAGGTATTCAAAACAGGAAATCATTTCTTCAGCTTCTCAGCCAACACTTTAGCATTTATCATTCAATGAGCACCGACCAACATCGCTGGACATGCATCGCTGTCTTTCAGAGATACCAACAGTTAAAACGTTTTTTTAATAGAATATCACTACTATAAAAGAAGTCCGTGTGTCTGTCTCTGTGTGTTTGTTTTGTAGGTTCAGTTGAGTTTGTTGTCTTCTCAAGGCTGTGGTGCTTTCTTCAGCCACAAGATAATACTCATGGTTTTTGGCACTTTCAAAATAAAAGGATTTGGAGGATGATCTTGCATTAGTCTGTTCATCTTTGCAGCTCTTCAGAGGCAATATACGTTCATACAGTTAACTGTCAGATAAAAAAAAGGAACTTGTTTAAAGTTTTCTTGTAGAACAATAGAATAACAATATTCAGTACTGATAATCCAACAGAGGACAGAAATAACTTAAAAAGGAAAAAAAGAAACAGCACTATGACAAATGACTGAAAATACTGCATAGTACAAATGCCCCGTAGCTTTTTTGTCCGTCCTGTCTGACACAGTACAGAAGGCCAACAGGGACAGACCACAATGACAGACTCATCAGTTTCTCCTATGACCGAGGAAAACATTCACCCAAGGAGACTCCAAAACTACTAGCTTCTGCCTCATGGGCAGAAAGTTCACAGCACTGCCATGCCCTTTAAGATCAAGTTCTGCATGGCTGAATCAAAATACCAAGTGAACTGTGATCCCTGGAAAGTAGAGAGGTGGCTGCTGTGAATGTCATTCCTGCTGGGATTGCCGGGCGTTATTCAGGTTCACTGCTATTTGTGGTTTTGTCCCACTCTATGCTCTCCTCACTGTGCGTGGGAGAAGGGAGGGCCCCAATGGCCCCTCCAGGATGCATCCTAAGTCCCTGGAAGCGCCGGCAATCGGGGCAAATGCGAATGTGACTGCAGCCTCTCGCAACCAAGGCAGCCTCCTGTGCCAGTCTGTGGGAGAGAGGCTCAGGTAGTCCGGTCCCCCCGCACAGCTTGCCGTTGCTGAGGCTGACAGCGGCTGCTCGAGCACGACGCTCCTCCAGGGGAAGGGGCCGCGGCCGCAGCGTCGAAGCCGCCCGCCTGCGCCTCACCTGCAGGCTGTCGCGACACAGGACGATCCCGTGGAGCTCCCGCAGCATCTCCTCACACACTGACTGCTGCAAGCACACACACACAGAGAAAAGAGAGGGGAGAGGGGGATAAGAGAGGGAGAGAAAGGGAGAGGCCAGACAACTCACTGACTGACTTACTTTATCAGGACAAACAGATGAACAGCACAGACATAGGACAAACATTTCATCTTCACAATCAGTGAAACAACAGAGAGATGGCTGGTGAACAACAGAGAGATGGTTGGTGTAGCTATAACAACCATCAGGAAAAATACATTTAATTAATTTGTAAACATACTTCACAGACACATACGGACATGTAACCAACTTTTTGTCTCCTTGACGGATGATCCAGTGTTCCACTGAGTATCGACAATACGTAAACTCAAATGATAACAATGACAGACATGAGTTCAAGTGCAAGACAAGACAGGCTAATTACCAATCAACACATGCTGCACATGAACACACTGACAACTGTACGGATGCACACGCACACACACAGACGCACAAGCAAGCACACACAGGGTTAACAAGTTAGAGTGGAATAAATCTAAGGTGCCTAATAGAAATAAATCACATGAGTTTTTGACTTTCACAATCTGAATATTTATTGAATTAAAATCAGTGTGGATTCCATTTGAAAAGACAATTATCAAGTATCTTTTAAAAGAATCACATCAGAATTCATTATAACACTGCATGCAATATTTCTCTACTCCATCTTTGTTAATAGTGTCCCCGCTTCAAGTATAGGGCAGAAGAACACCTTCACAAACAGAACTGATGATTTTCTGTGGATTCAAATTGGCCCTTCCTTTGTCCTGATAAACAAATGCTTATCAAAAAAGCAGTAGTTCTGTAACAAGGCTTAAAAAACTCCTCATATTGCTTTCTTGTCCCCACTCCAGATGAAGCTACAAACAATTGTAAATTATTCTAAATATGGTTTCGATTTATAATTCATACAGTTTTCGGATGATATGAATCAAACACTATCTCTTGGATTTCAAATATAAATCTTATAATAGTTGCTTTTTTCAAATCTACGTTAAGTAGATATCTTTAACTGATCATTTACTGTAACAAACGATTCTTCCTCTGCATAACTTTCCATCATCCAACCTCTGATGAAAAGAATGACTTCTGATCTGTGACAATTGATTTTTGAACAAATCTGTTCACACATTTCCAAGCATCTCTTAAATAAAAAGATTATTAGATAAAGGCTAAGATAAAACAATACTTTGTTAAACTCTCATTGGCTGCATGTATTTACCACCACACCAACACAATGAAACTACATTCAATATTCTTTATAATGTATGATATTATATGAAATATATATATATATATATGAAACTTATTCTGCTACAAATAGAGAATAATCTTTATATGCATGTACTTCGAGTGAGGTTTAAGTGAGGTATATCTTTGGTTTTGTGCTGATTATGTCACCAAGGCTAGACAGAGGAAGTGTGAGTGTCACGTTGAACCCAAAGGAAGACCTAGACGCATGCTACACTTCCTGTCAAAGCTGTGCACTGTGGGGAAGCATAGCAGCTCCACGAGGGGGCGGGTGCCAGGGAGGGGAGAGGGAGACAAAGCAGATGCAGGTTAGATAGCCCTCTCTCACCTCATTTCCTGGAGCCTGTCTTAACATCCAGACAAATTCTAGCACTGCCATGAAGATAGCCACCAACAGGCCACACACCAGCACCACAAAGATACCGCCAATATTCTCCATGCCCAGACCTGGAGACAAACAGGTGTGATAGGAGAAGTGAAAATTACAGGACAAAGGAGACAAAAGGAAAATAAAAACATTAACAACACACAGTCTGAAGTGGAGCTGAGGTTCAAGCAGATGAACATTAACCAGAGACAAACCTTTGGCACGGTGGTCCTCCTCTTTTGGACACTTGCCACCGTCCCACCACTTCCTCTTGAGGATTTCCAAACGATTGTCTTCCTGTATTTTGAGGATGGCCAGGTCAAACTCATCACGGTACACAGACCCTGCAGGGAAGAGAGGGGCAAAGCTCAAACAGGCACACTCCTAACGATGTGCCAACTGAAAACTGAACCTTCGGACGAATACAATATACTTGTGTCCAGTGCAAACAAATCCAACATTTTCACCTACTATTTTACACATTTCAAGGTCAGATTCAACACAAAAATTGCACTAATAATATTACAATGCACAACACTCCCAAAAAGTTAGCTTTTATGGGTGTATTTTAAATTTCTCTGATGTAAAAAATAACATGTAGGGAAGCTTTATTCAATATCTTTTATATGACACCACTGTCATTGCATCCCATCACGGTGTCACTGTGTCATGCAGTGACTGCAGCCCAAAAGAAACGAGTCTGAGTGGACCCCCATTTGTAAATGCACTTCAGTCACCAACAACTCCCTGAAGACACTCATAATTACACTATAACTGCGTGTGGCCATTAGCCCTGATCTTTGAGAATTTGACTGCAAGGCTCATTTGCATAGAAACGGTCCAATCTTTCTTCAAATGTATGCGTATTACCTAATTTAAATACAAGCAAATAGCACAGGAGCACTAAGGAGCTGTTTGCTTGGCAGCACAGTCACAGGTGCATTTGCAGGTGTTTGAGAGTTACAAGGTTTCTTTTTGTCTTATTTGCACAGTTTTAGCAGCCATAGCAACTCAATCCTTTATGAATTAAACACTCATTGTGATCTTAATACACTAACCTTTTCTTTTCATTTGCCATGGGAAGTGTGAAATCATGTCACAATTAGCAAAGCTTGTTTCAACAAAATATATAAAATAAAATCTAACATTAAAACGCTGAGTAGGATGTTGCAGTGTTCTACAGTTCACATCACAGCAGGCAGTGTACAGACTGTTAGCCACTAAAGAGGTGGTTTTTCTATCTTCTAAAGATCAAAGGAATTTAAATTAATCATGTTTACTTTAAGGTGTGTTTCCCCCCACCTGGAGATTGACTCAGGCTGAGATCAAAGTGTAATCTGTGTTGAAACGTAAAGATCTGCAAGGGAGTCGTACATCAACAATTCCACATTCAACAGGAACGATATTCCAAATTCCCTTTCTCTCATCTCTACTTGTCCCATCACAGCATGGAAACAGCCGCTCTATTAAAGTCTAGCAGTGAGCCTATTTGAGTTGCTCACTTTTTGCATCACTTCCCCTCCATGACCTCCTGATAGCAGCTAATGGTTTGGCTTTGCTGAGGCTTTTCTTTCCAATTTAAATCCTCAATGTGACGTTTGTGTTGAATCCTTCAACTAATACCCAGACTCTTTATTCCCGATTCTTAGCTTCAACATGAATTATACAGTGTATCTAAGCATAACCATCAGATGTTGTTCTCTGCTGCCTTCAGGCCGCTACACACCAACCTGAGACCAAAGAACGCGTACCGAAGGCGTCCCGACTTTTACGTCCGCTACGTTGCCTGCGTCGGCTACGCCGCCCGCCTACGCCGCCCGCCTACGAACACACCGCAAAGACTTCAGTTGATGAGTGGCAATAACTGTCCTTACCAGCAAGCAGCGGTAGTGTGTATTAGTCATTCAAAAGAGGCAACAACCGGAAGACAGACTATACACCGAGAGAAGAAGGACAGGCTGCGTGATATAAACAAACAACAAATAGCGTCTGGGTTCCATTTTCACTCTCTCTCGTCGATCGAAAACATGTAAACCCTTGCGTCCGGGTGAGATGAAAATGAAAAAGATTAACCGTCTGTGTGTGCCTTCTTAATCGTTTGTTTTGGTCCCTCACTTCCGCTTCGCTCTCATGCACTAACTCGCTAAGCTGAACAGCCAATCAGAGTGATTTCTTTGTCCCGACTTTCTTTGGCCTCCCGCGGGAGGTGTGAAAATGTGCCGTAAAGAGACGACGGTGCGGGACACACCAACCTGAGTAGGGCGCCGCGAATGCCCAACTGCCTCTGACGGCCTCTGACTCCCAAAATCGGGTTGGTGTGTCAGGGGCTTTAAAGGCCGCTACACACCCACCTGAGACCAAAGAACGCGTACCGAAGGCGTCCCGACTTTTACGTCAGCTACGTCGCCTGCATCGTCTACGCCGCCTGCCTACGCCGCCCGCCTACGCCGCCCGCCTACGCCGCCCGCCTACGAACACAGCGCAAATACTTCAGTCGACGAGTGGCAATAACTGTCCTTGCCAGCAGTAGTGTGAACAGCCAATCAGAGTGATTGCTTGGGCCGACTTTCTCTGACCTCCCGCGGCCGATTCAACATGTTGAATCGGCCGCGGGAGGTGTGAAAAGGTGCCGTAAAGAGACGACGGTGCGGGACACACCAACCTGAGTAGGGCGCCGCGAATGCCCGACTGCCTCTGACGGCCTCTGACTCCCAAAATCGGGTTGCTGTGTAGCCAGCTTTAAGGATTCTGTCTTAGCCACTGACATCCAACAGGTGAAAGTCAAACTTGAATTTCTTCTTTTCTTGTCCTTTCAAAATCTTTCATTTCCCCATGTAAATCTCCAGTTATTCCTCACTCACCCGGTGGCATGCCGATGCCATAGCCCTTCGTATCCAGCAGTCCTCCAATTTGAGTCAGGTTGCAGTTCCTCTGACGGTAGTACTCGTTCATGGTGCTCTCTAGCAGGTAAGCATAGTTGGAGTTGAGGACACGGGCGATGCCCTCCTCCGTGCTCTTTACAAAAACACTGGGCTGTTTTGAGTGCATGAAGTTCCACATCCTCTGGTAGGTCTGGTAGCGAGAGTTCTGCAGAGCGGCGAGACACAATCAAGAGAAACAAACACATTCAGATGTGAAAGACGGTAAACAAAAAGTCTATCACTCGCAGATACATCATCTCTCAGTTTTGCGCAGGTGGAAATTGGTTCTCATCTGTTATTCTTTTTCATTAACTTGACTGATGGATTTATTCAAATTCTACAAAAAGTTTGCAGCAGTTAAATGTAAAAGTTTTTATCTTGAGCAGATATTTTCCCACTTTATTAGCTTCAAAGTTTAGAACAGAATCTTCAACTAACATCTCCACCTGTCCTCTACTTTCTCATCACCTGTCTTTCCTGAGTTGATCAAGATCTAGTGGACAGGCAAGCATAAAGAAAGGCAGGAAAGAGTGTCACTGTCCTTCTCCCTGTCAAACCTTCTTACTCTGTTTAGCACATTCCTATTCTCCCTTTGTGAAATCAAATCTTGAGGAGATGAAAGAGGATAGGGTGCGCCTCTCTTAGGGACCTGGACAGTGCATCTGAGGCTAAGTATATTTAATGGTTTTGGCAAGACACAGATAAAACCTTTAGTTGGAAGAGAAAGGCAGGAAGGAAACTAGGAAATTTGATCAGGAGAAACATCACTGATGGACCACTGATCCCTGCAGGCTACGGGTGAGTTTGTGTGTATATGTGTAGCTGTGAATAAACAACCTATCATGCGTAATAAAGTGTGTAACCTCTGACCTGGAAGAAGGTCATAGTGGATCCTCCGTGCATGGTGCCGTACTCTATCGCCGTCTGATCTGCAAGGTCGTCGACTGACTCAATTGGCACCTCCATCCTCTGGACTGTTAGGAAGGCAGCCAGGTTGGCGGTGTAGGATGAGATGATGATTAATGTGAAGGCCCACCTGTAGAGGAGAGGTAGGGGACAAGAACATATGTATTCACCTACAAAAAAATGTAAATGGGCAGGCTGGTGTATGAAGATAGATTGTCTGGGTGAAAGTGTGGGAGGATTTAAATAGCTGCGCACCTGAGAGGAGAAGACACTGCAGGATTTTCAGAGGATGACGGGGTGGATGCGAGAATGGGTGGGTGTGTATGGATAAAGGTGACAAATGCTCGGTTTGGATGAGAGGAAGTGATGTTTTTGCTGCAAAGCCAGACATACACAGACAATGTCTCACAGATACACATGCTCAGAATCCATCACTTTCTTATCTTGAACCCTGGTATCCAGGAAATCTGGATGTAGTTTCAAGATCACATGAAATATTAAATGCATTCCACGATGGAGCAATATGCAACAAATGATAACAGAGTTGAATGGGTGAATAACTGAGTGGTTTTTAAAAGGTGAACATATGCAAATGCTCTCATGTTTGTGTGTCCTTGTCCCCAATACTTACCACACTCCACTGACACAACGTGTGGACAAAGCTCTGGGAGCAATGGTGGATCCTTGCTGCATGAAGCCGCCAACAGGGAACCAGAAACTGTTGCCAAGTGAGTATTGGTTGATCAGCAGGTTACAGCGACCCTTTAGACAGGGGTGGGGGTTGTACCACTCGTACGGTGTCAATCTAGGGAGAACGAGACAATGGGGTTAGACAACAGAGAGAGTCACAGGAGGAAAACAGCCAACAAGAGTGGAAATGAAAGTTGGATTAAGTATTCAGACGAGAGCAAAACTCAAGAGATATGGAGAAAGAAAGGGAGAGACAGACACAGAGCAAAACAACTCTGACAGTCAACTGAGCACAAAGTCACCTTGGCTCTCTAGAGAGAATTAACCTGCTTTTCATTCCCCATGTGCTGCCTACTTTCACAGTGTGGGGGGGGGGGGGGGGGGGGGGCGGGGGGGGTGTACAATGTAATTGGTATGTTGAAATGGTGCTGTATTCAGCTACATTTCTGTGACAACTCTGTTATTTGCAAAAGTCTCTGTCTTACTAAGGCATAACATCTTTCTGATCAGCGTAAATTAACAAAACCAAACGCACTTCACTCACTGCTCATTCGAACATTGAAATATTTAGTTTTTGTTATTATTTCTCCTGTGCAAACTGGCTGTGAAAATAAACCATAGTTTTAGTAGGATATTTACTCTTTATGTTTCCCACCCTGCTGACTTGCTTGCTTTCTTATTACAAACACATTAACTTTAGTGGATTCCCATGTCATTTCTTTGGCTATGTTATGTTCTCCTTAGAACTGCATTTGAAAGTGGGAAATACATTACGGCCATTCATTATATTGTACATGTACATTTCAGCATTTGAATTTGTTTAAGGACAGACCTGAACAAACATGAACCTATCTTTTAAAATGCTTTACTGCATGATCCTAAAAAAAATATTGTTCTTAGCAAATGTAAGTAAAAACAGAAGGTGTATACAATTAAGTTTTTATGATAAATAAATATACGACCCAAAAAACTCACCCACCTTCTTGATCAGTACATTCAATGTTTACTAGTAATTAGCAGGAGCAGCTGTGCCATTTCCCTCCATGACCAGCAGGGGCCAGTATGACGCTGGAGACCCACCACTGGGAGGAGACCCTCTCCTTGATGTGATGAGGACTACAGACTAGATAGATAGAGACTGAAGCAAGGCAAGAGAACAGACACCTGTTTCCTCCTTTGTGTAACCCCCAAACAAACCTTTTTGTGGTTTTACTCTCTGTTCTCTACCCTCTTTGTATGTCTCCTTGTTTTTTTCTCTCTCTCTCATCTGTACAGAGTATTTTTACTGGTGAGCAGTTTACCTGGCTACAAGAAACAGGACGCAGCTGACAGCCAAGTATGCTAGAAGCATGAAGAGCCAGACACCAGGGGAGAAGGGATCCAGAAAGGAGAAGTAGCCTGGCCTACGTCCCTGAAAAACACAAACACACAATAGGCATTAAAAGCATGAAAGCCTGCACAGACTGTGACCACTTTTATCCAATGTTCCATTCACACAAGCCAAACAACACTGGCCTTTGCTGAACAGAGAGCTTAGAGGTTAAATCATTATTTGTAGAGGTGCAGATTAACTAATTAGTATGCTAAAAAACCTCTAACAGTTTCTAACATCATCCCCTAGAAACTGCGTGCCCTGGACTAATTAAAAGAAAATGTTGATACATTTTAGAGTTGATTCATTTGCCTCTGGCCCATTTCTGTCTGTGTTAAACAACATTTGCTGCCGCCTGTGTAATTTGGAAATGATGAAAAGGTGACTGGGACAGTAAATAAAGGGATTTTCATGTGATAAGCCTAGATTTCCCTGTCCTTAACTGATAACAATATAATTATATGAATCTCATTTGCGTGTAAACATTCAGATCAACATTGTATGAAAGTACAAACCCAGTCTCCCATGAATTGTCAACAGAGGGGCACAGGGCTGTATATTGATACAACAACACAGATAAGAGGTTTTATTTCCATGATTCGGGGACTATAACCATTTAATGAAAAACTGAAAACTACTGATCATTACCTAACTGCTTTCTGTTAATTGGTACATGTTCTCACATGAAATCACGCTAGATATAATAGGACGTCTAATCATATTAAAGGAACAATTGAAGGTCAACATTATGAGACGAACACCATTTGCGCCCTCCACAAGGTTGCATGCACCGAAGACAGAAAGGTCAAATAATCAGGTAAACCATTACAGCTACATTACACCAAAATTAATTTCTATGACCTATACCCTGACTTCCTGTATGACTGGGAGCGTACAATTAAGCTTGGAGGAAATAGGGAAAGAGGTTAATACCTTGGAATGGAAAGAAAGCTAGAGGGTGTATTTATTTGGATTGGTAGTAAGGGAGATAAAGTGTCTTAAATAAGGTTGGCAGCTGGCATACCAATTGGAATAAAGGGGCTAATTGCTAATGTTTCCTGCACCAAAAGTTATTATTCTCTAAATGAAACAAATTAATGCGCTTGTGTGCGTGTCTTTAAATGTCCATGTTCAGCCTAGCCTTGGTGACCGAACATCAGCAAGGGAATATTAGCCGCTTCCACACAGATGCACCTACTGTTACACCATCTGATAATGACTATGAAATGTAGGTGGTTGTCACTGCCAGCAACATAGTTAAATAGTGGAGTGATCAAACAACCAACTGTCCAAGTGTTGTCATCTTTCATTTCTGTCTACAGGCAGCACTGTGGAGCCAACCTGAACAAGCTCTAATCGCTTTTATGCAAAAATACTCAATTACTGTAGGTACTCCTGAGGGACATCACACATGCCAAAACACTGCAGTAATACATTTCTGAGGCACTCCAAAATTAAATTTGCAGCAAGAGGGTGAAATAATTTTGGTGGACATTTGTTATGATAAACGAACCCCCATTTAGACTTGCGCTCTGATGAAAATTCATTAATTCGTCTGTAATCACTTCCATATTAGCCTGACTAAGAAGAAAAGGAGTGGTGCAGAAAGCAGGAGGAGAATGAGATTCAGTATCATTTTTTGACGCAGCCTGCCAGGCCTAATGTCTGTCTGTCAATCTATGGAGTGTAATGCTTATGATGATAATGATCATAGCTGTCTCAAAATAGAACAGTAGAGTGGTGAAACACTAGATGGCCATCATAACCCGCTGTAAAACGAATAGTACTCTTATTGGCACAAGCATTCTTGGTGTAGCAGTACATTGTGTGCAGACATAAGTCCTGCTGGTCCAGCTGGATGTATGCTGAACAGAGTTTTGATAAATGCTTTCCCTGCATGTCCACATTTTAGGCTCCCACCAAGGAGCCATCATTTAGATGAAGAGAGCTGCAGAGACACGGGACACCTATGCTAACAGATGGTGGAGAAGTGAAGGTGCAGGGGAGCAGATTAGAAAAAGAGAGTAAGGTAAAAGGAGACGCAAATCACAAGGACGAGAGGGACACAGTCGGGGATGCAAGCTGCTGAGAAATGTAACATTTGTGGTTTAATATGTGTACTTCAACACTCTGAGACCAAGTTTTATTTCAGCTGCCGGAGGGGAAATGATCCGTTGCGAGGCTTCAAGAGACACACTAATGAGTACAAAGACGGTCAGATAGGCGAAATGGGAACTGCATAAAATGTATTAAAACAATGTGTGCATGTTTCCAGAAATGTGTCAGGAGATATTCCCTGGAAATATATTTTTCCCATTTTATGTCTTGTTTACTAGTCCTAGAAAGAACAGGCTTAATTAATTCATCTTCCTTATATGATCATTTTGTGATGACATAAACTTAGAGTATGATGTTTGACATAAGGTCACGTTTTAAAAGCTCCACATATCAATACTGTTATACTACAGTGGATCAGAAGACTTTGTATAGTATAATCTTAAAGAGTCTCCAGAAGGGATAACACAATAGATAATTAAGACCAATTCAATAACGCTACAGAGCATTAGCCTTTGAGCACATTGTTTTGATTTAACTGCAGCAACCAACCCAACTGTATACTTCCTGCCAAGCACTAAAGAACAGACAGGCAAACTGATGGACTGAGTGGCTGGTGAAAATAATGAAGCATTACACTCCTATCCAAAACATATCCCTCAATGGTTGGAGGAGACCAAAACAGAGCAAAAAAGAGTATATATTGGACCTATATTCATCAGATTGCAAATGAATTAAGGCTAACTTTGCTTTTCGTCAGCTGGATGTGTTTATATTGTAATCAACTTGTATCTAACAAAATGTATAGAAGTCACCCACATCCAATAACCCTAGAAGGCAGGTGCTGGACCAATGGAAGAAAGAAGTAAAAACACACTGTAGCTTAAGGGCAATATATAAGCACAAGTGTTAATGTGTTAACGCAGCTGTTAAAGTTCAGTACAGTTCTGTAAGTGCTACTACATTCTTGCTTGAGTTGAGGTGACCTACAGAACAGGCTGACTGACTCCTGTTATGTGAGATGTAAAAGAATATTGAAATCTGTCCTTCACAGACGCTAACCTCAGATTCATCTCTGCAACCGAGGACTCAATGTTAGCATAGTTTTAAATAACTTATGAATGTAAATATTGAGTGTATTTAGTAATGCATAAGTAATCAGGGATAAATTGACTTGAGAGAGCAATTTCCGAAACTTTGCAGTGCATCCAAATGGTCTATTGTTTAAACAGTGAGCTCATAGGGGGTCGGCTCTCTCTTCATTTTAGAAGTAGCTGTGTGTTTGTATGTGTGTGTGCTTGTGTTTCAAAGCTTGTCAGCAGCTGTCTGTGCTGTCAGTCAGCAGCAGGACAGATACAGTACGTGCTTGGGCAGCCGAGTGCCGGGGAGCACCGGTGCTGAACACAGGAGGAGCAGGTAGCTGACTTTTGGCTGGGGAAAACACAGCAGCCATGGCTAGCCTGGTAGTTACTGTTAAATGGGAGATATAAGCTTGGAAAACACTGAAGACTCTAAAACTAGGAAATAGGGACCAAACAAACTGAGAGTATTGACATTAATAATTGACCTGGTGCTTGAGTTAGACATTAAAAGTAAACCTGCTGCCATAAAGGGATTTCATAGTAGAACAAGCGCCAAATGTGAGTGTATAAGCATCAATTATATCCACAGGTTGCCTTGGCTCCTCACACATAAACATTTGGTACTGCGTTTGACTTATTTTTATTAGAGGCAGGGGAATAATTTTATCGTTAAGTTAAGATGATAAGATGGCGTGAAGCAAATCAAAGGACGGAAGAGATTGCAGACGTGGTGCAGAGGGGAATCGTCCTTAACGACTCATTTTTATGAGTACATCTCAACAAATAGAAGAGCGAGGAATTGCTGCCTATTAAAGTATGTATATATCCTCGTTTCTATAAACACGCACATTCATTTTTACCTTGCATTGCCCTTGTTCGCTCCACACTTCCCAATGTCCCTTCTACATCATCCCTCTCTTTTGCTGCCTCTCTCAGGATTGCCTGCATGCCAGGAGGGTGGCTGAAGGAGCTGGTGAGGTTATCCCGTCAAGGATTTCACCTAGTCATCCTGCCTCTTGGTATTCAGATAACATTGTTGCCCCCTGAGGCTGCCTGCCTGAATACGGACCCGCAGAAGGACACTTATTGTCATTTCAATTCTCGCTCTCATTTCTCCATCTTCTCTCCACCATTTTTTCTTCTCATTCTGTCCTTTTCTTGCTAATTCTCTTTCATGTTGTCTATCTTCCTCTCCTTCCCTGGGTCTCCTCACCTTCTGTCTCATTTTCAGGGCTCTTTCATAGCATGTGCATTTCTAGTTGTGTCAGTGCCGACGCCAGGAGCTCTTACTGTTGTTGAGATAGCAGCGGGGGCAATCTTCAAAAAGCTGTTGATTTGGCAGAGTTCACGGGTCATGTAAATATCAACATCACGCTGTCCCCTGGGCTCACTAGGTTGTCTGTTTCCATGTCTGAGTGTTTTCTTTGGTGCGACTGTGAATTACAGAGTGAAAGTATGTATGTGTCTGTGAACGTGTATGTGTGCAAGGCTACATATGTTTTTGTCTGTGTAATTTTGTCTGAGGTCGTGGGTGGCCAGAGAGGCAATAAAGCTCCATATGCCCAGCTTTACCCTCAGGGCAGCTGTTGAATCAAACACAGCCTCCATACACCCCTAATTAGTTCTTATGTCTAATTAAGCACCACTCTCCTACTCTAATATACGCACACACTGCAGAACGGTCTCCAAAATAAAGGAAGTGTGTGGTTGACAGAACTGGCACTGATACAAAGTACCTCGGAGTGTTGGGGTCTTGGGTTACAGCATATGGCCATTTGTTGCGCAGATGATGAATGTAATAGGGATGTTTTTTTTATTAGAAAAGGCTCTAGGCTATGTTCCTAACTCTAAAGTCCAATTCACATTTTGTACCGGCTGCTAAAATGAAGGTGTGCTGTTTGATTTGTGTGTAAAAGCAAATCAAATGTATGTATATAGCCTTAAACCACTTGCATGTCTCCCACACACCATATAAGATAAATTGCCACATGGCTGTATACAGCAAATAACTAAAAACCACCAACCAGGCACGAAATAGCAGTCAGGCAAGACAGCTGAAGAACCAAGACAGGTACAGATCGTCTCTGCAAGGGCTTCAAGCTGTCTTATATCTGTTCCTGTAGTTCTTTTTCTTTTTATCATAACAGATTGAGTATACAAGGCAGCAGTGATCCCTTCAGAGTATCAGATCCCGTTTGTTTTTGTGTAATGTAAAACACTGTCACAAAATGATGTGTCAGGTAATTAAGTTTCGTGAATTGCAGCTGTACTGACTGTTCAGAGAAAAAGTTGACAGTTTTAAGAATGTACTGTAGGAACAAGTGGAGTTTCATAAAGGAATGCATTTGGTCTGAATTTAAAGGCAGTGATGCTCTGGGAACAGTTTTATATAGCTTTGTAATACACGTGACTAATTATAGCCAACATAGAATTATACGTCTTACTATATTGTTCTAATAAAAAAAGATATTGTGAATATTTACTGCCTTAAAAGGTTAATATGCGTCACACTGTTAATAAATAAAAAATAATAAAAACACACAGTGTGAGAGGGAGACCGACATACAATACAATACATACATACTGGTAAAGAAGAGAGATATTGATTAAATGGCTCTTTCTCTGGGGGTAATTGATACTCAACATGCACCTTTATTTTATTGCATTTGCCATTGTTATTGATTAGGCTGAAATTTTCATTTAAAGTTTGAAATAAGCAGCAAATCCCCCATCACTGGGCCTCAGATCAATAGTCAGTGGATTCAAACTAAACAAGTGCAGTCACATAAATTCAAATATTGAATTTTAGAGCCATGCTGAGGGGCCGCTCTGAGTCAGATCTGAGAAAATGCCGAGGGGCAATGGGAGCGTAAAAGGAGTAGGTAATGATTGTGGGATAGAGAAATAGTGAGAGAGAGAGAGAAAGAGAGGGAGAGAGAGAGAGAGAGAGAGACAAGGGACACCTGTCTTCCTCTCCCCTCTTATCTTTAACCTTTCTCTTTTCTCTCTATCTTTTCAAAACCTTCACACACCAGCGCATTAACTTAAAAATAACTGATTTCTTCATTTCCACGTACTCAGCGGTTTGGGGTCAACTGGGCCAAGTCTGTGCTAATTTAACTGTGTTACTCTGTGTCCACCCTGAGGGGACATCATATCCATATCAGAGCCCTGCACAGGTCAGAAACTCCAGACATAGCCCCACAAAGTCTGCACGTTTTCAGCCTGATCCCGACCCCGGCCTGAGAGCGACACCAATCACTTCAAAATCTCTCTGACACATGCAAAAACACACAATTTTACAATATATCATACAGTGGCCTACACCTGTGTGTGTGTGTGTGTGTGGGTGTGTGTGTGTGTGTGTGTGTGTGTGTGTGTGTGTGTGTGGTGTGTGTGGTGTGTGTGTGTGTGTGTGTGTGTGTGTGTGTGTGTGTGTGTGTGTGTGTGTGTGTGTGTGTGTGTGTGTTTGTATCAGAGGTGAACATTGGCCAGATGAAAGGAGAAAAGTTACATGAGCCTTAGTAACACCTGAGCCCGGTCTGTAAGAAAAATGGTCCAAGCCCGGCCCAAATCGACTTAGCGTGTCGGGGCCTTTGGGTTGCAAACCTCTATTCCAAATCACCTCCTCATGCGGCCACCCACCTGCCTGCTCCCCACTTCAGAGGTGATATGCTACCCAGCAGCCCATTTAACACTGCACCTGCTGCGAGCATCGATTGATTTTGCCCAACTGTTGGCGCTCAATTGAGTCCCTCACTGCTACACCTATTAGTGCTGGACTTTGGGAAGGTGAGAGAGAGGGAGGTTTACAAGAAGTGGAGACAGGAGTAAGGGGGGATGTGAGTAAACGCCCCTATGGGATACTACACACGTGCCAGATCACCTCAGTGCGGACTGTGGCCCTGTGTCACCTTGGGTTTCGGGGGAGGACTGATGATTTATGGGCCTCTGATTCTGCAAACACTGGCTCATTTCCACCTGCGCTGCTGTTATTTCACTGTTTCCTGCCTGGGCTCGCTCTCTGCAGAGCATGGGGGGTATAACTTGTGTGAATGGGATGGACAAACCCAAGCAGAGGGCAAGCAGAAAACAATTGTAAAGCTGGTACATTCATCAGGAAGTTCACACAGTAAAACACGCCATATGGTGCTGGCAGGATGGGGGGCCACGGCAACAGAAGGAGGAAATGAGCAAACACAGGAGAAAGGAAAAGTGCTGGACACTATTAAAAAGTTGAGACTACAGGGAAAGGAGTGGAATGCAAGAAAGCGAGACTCAGGGTTGGAGGAGAGGAGGACAGAAGGAAGAGGAGGGTATGGCCGTGAAAACACACACATGCAGGGGAAATGGTGAAGCTGAGAAGTAAAAGTGCTGCAAAGGAGGAGAGTTTGGAGATAGACTTTTCAGTCCAAAAGGGAGAGTGGTTCTTTAGCAGCCATTAGACAAGGCTGACTGCCCGCTGTGATACGCCCACAAGCTGTACGTGGGCCAGTTCGATCGGGTGGAGTTAGTGTCTGTGGGGGGCTGGTAGGAGTTAACTCACCAGGTGGACGCGGTACATAATGCTGATGCCGAGGGTCATGTAGGGCTTGGAAAAGTCGATGACCTTTTCACGCTCTGCTGTGATGGTGAGGCCTGCGACTGCCAGATCAGCTTTCTGAAACACAGAGGGCGAGTAGAATCACATCATGTTTACACTCAGTCAAAAGGCATGCTGGATATAGCCAGGAGGAGGGAACACAAGTTAATGACATAACCAATAATTTGGGCGATTGAAAGGATGACATAGGAAGTGGGCTACTAGATGCTAACTCCCTAATAATGCACTTTTGTATCCCATAGCCTCTTTGTCTGCCGATACCGTTATCTGTTAAGAGGATAATCCAGCATTGACACTGTGTGGGAGTGTGGGACTGTGTGTGTGTGTGTGTGTGTGTGTGTGTGTGTGTGTGTGTGTGTGTGTGTGTGTGTGTGTGTGTGTGTGTGTGTGTGTGTGTGTGTGTGTGTGTGTGTGTGTGTGTGTGTGTGTGTGTGTGTGTGTGTGTGTGTGTGTGGGGCACAAGAGAGCTGAGGGTAACAATTGTGGCTGGCCGAGGGATCACTGTCAAGACAAATCGCTTGACAAAGCAATGGCTGGTAAAACACACAGACAAACACACACAAGTAGAAATGGTCAATGTACGCTGAATGCTGGATGGCTCCCTGCTAATAATGCGGGCCAGCAAAGTGCAACTGCAAGGGATTTTTCATCTCCCCGAGGAGCAAAGAGTGAAAGCAGCATAACGCATTGCTCGTTGTCTGCTGCAGGAGAACTAAGAGGATTGGGGAGACGGAGAGGAATGGGGAGGATGAGAGTGAGGAGAGAGGAGCTCTGCTGCAGCACTGCAGACGCCACTCAAAATCCACAACACGCTGTTTGTATTTCCAGGAAAGAGAGACAGGGAGTAGGGCATCTAGCATGAATGAAAAAGTGTTTTGCATTTTGACGTGATGTGAAGATTGATCATTCTTTCCCCAAAATCAACTAGTGCACGTTAAAAACACTCCCAGGAAACATTTAGGGCTCTAATCTCGCTCTGTCTGTGCTTTCATTAGTGTATTACACTTTACAATGTCCACCTTTTTACCAATTCCCTAGCCTACACTCCACTCTGAAGCCTAATGTCTCCTGCTGCCCTACCCTCAGCCCGCAGGCTACGACCCTCCATCATCAGCTCTCCCCGGCCCCGCCTCCTCTTTTGTCGTTTGAAAGTCTGATCGCCTGCTCCCAGTGCCGGAAGGAAGCAACGCGCAGGGATCGACCATCCAGGCAAATTCAACAAAGAAAGTCACTGATCCTTTGAAAAATGAACAAACGGTCCTAACAGCCACTGAAATATTTATGTGCTGGTAGAATATTAATATTGATTACCAGATTCATCTGCCTGCCTTCCCGCTGTTATGCCTTCTACTGTAACTGAAAACAAAACATCACACTGTAATACTGGTTGTTTAATGTCGCATCATACCTGTTCCCACTTGCATTCAATCATATCATGCTAACATGGTAAAAAAAGCAAAACAATGAAACTTGTGAATACTAGGGATGAATTAAACATTACCCTCTATGTAGAATTTGACTTTGTGTCTTTGGGGATGCCCCTTCTCTCTAACTGCAGCGCTTGCGGATTAAGGAACGAGGACATACTGTACTTAGACTTTGGTCTGAATTCCTTCTGGCATGTCTCACTGTTAGCTCAGGCTTAGTGACACCCGTCAAACTAATTGCCCTCACACAGTGAAATATTGCTCGGTCTGAATGATCCTGGCAGGGACACAGGTATCTGTAGACCGGAATAACCTAAGGCTGTCCTCTTTTGCTGCTACCGAGTGTACATTTCATATTCTTTCAACCTATCCATTCAATTTACAACCATGGCTGTTCCTTTGTTTTCTTTTCACTCTGCTGTCTTTCCCATTCCTTTGAGCCTTTATCCAAACAAGCCCAAGCCTTTCTGTCCCCCCAGGAACATCCCTCCAGATGTCCCATATCCCATGACAAATCCCTCTCAAGCACGTCTTGACTTTTTGTCTGCCCCTCCACCCTGCCACTCCACAGCTCAAGCTCCTGTCAGAGAGGTTGGCTTCGACCATAGTTCTTCTGAAAGTCACCCGTCCACAGGCAACTAACAGGCTTTGACAATAACAAGAGTGGGCACTCCTTGCTTTACATACTTAATTACTTTTCCCTCCATTAGCCCACAGAATTAAGACAGATCACCTCTTAGGATTGGCTCAATTCCTCTCTACTTCATTTCTGTTTTTCTCTTCCTCACCCCAGCCTTCCGTTTCACTTCTCTTCCTCCCCCTCTTCTCCCCTCAGCTCCTTATAACCTTATCTGCCTGTTAACGGCTACATACAGTGTAGCTGGAGGAGGGTAAGACCTCACCCAGAGATTTAACAGCAACAATATAGGCCGATTCAGGAGTAAAGTGTGTTATGGTCACTTCAGAAGGCTTAAGGAAAGGAGCTGACAGAAAACAAGCCACCAACAAGCTGTGACTGCTTTGGAAAACACAATGGATAAGCTGAAAAGGTCGACTGCTGAATCAAAATGTGTGTATGATAAAAAGGAAAGCTGTTAGCTTTGCAATTTATCAAAGCTGAGCGATATACTTTAGTGTTTGAGTATGTCAGTGCACAGTGAGAAGTACTTTGGATGTATATATGATGTGATAAAAACAGGCTGCATTCAGTCTGTGTATATGTTTACATACCCGTGAGATTAGCTCTCCCACCATGCCGGTCCACGATCCGTTGGCCCCAGGAACCCCGTACAGTCCGTCCCCCACCAACCGGATTCGATACTTGAACTTGAGAATATCTGCTAGCTCTTTCAGCATGTCCACACAGAAGCCTTCGTAGCGATCATTTCCCTCAAGTTCTTGGTGGTTTGGCCGCAGCATCACATATGGATTCTCCTGAAAAACACACGGTTTGTCACAGTCTTAGACAGTGCATCTCAAACTGACTGTCTACTACTAGGCGAGTGACAAAGTAAGACAGAGCATAGAAAATATACTGAAAAGATATTTCAGTCACAGGAAACACAACTCAACCCGAACAGCACTAGGTGTCCGGGTTACTTTTCATTAAAAATTCGTTAAGGCTTGTAAAAAAACCAAAAAAAAAACTGTGGAGGAAGTTTCAAGACTGAAAAATGACTCTTGCTTTACAAACTGGGGGTTGTCAAGTCTCAAATACATTGACAGAAAGGTTCTCATGAAATGCGTGACTGAGTTATATTATAGGACGTGTAGGATTCATGGATTCATTCGAGATGAGACAGGACATCTTAGACGCCGTTGCTTAAATTCTAACAATCTTTTTTTTATTTTAAAGCCTCAACAACCTTTGGACAGCATTCTAAAAAATGTAGTGTGCATATTTATGTTCAATATGATTGCTTTGCTTTACAGTTAGGAAGAATGGTGGCAGCATCACATAAGGCCTTTGGAGGTCCTTGTTCACATCCGGTAAGCCTTGAATGTAAACTGAGATTTGTGGATTTGAAGCATTGCCAGGCTCTAAAATCTGTTATATCTGCAAAAAGTGGATAAGAAACAACAGCAGTTTTCCTCTCACCACACACTCACACACCCAATCACACACCTATTTACAACCTGTCTTTTAGAAAAGCAACTCTCTGTTTGGCTGTCTCTTTATTTATGTCTTGTTTTGTCATTTAGTTGATGTTGTGAAAAGATTTAAAGAGCACCGCAGCGATGTATTTTGGAGCCACCTCTATTGTGCTATTTTTCAAATAATGCAACTGTCATACTAGTGCGCACAGGCTCCACTACATCATAAAAAAGACAGCATAATGTACCACTTTGCAGTTGCTCCGTCCCTGCACTCAGCTCATGAATCCAGGTAAAACAAACTTACTTTGGCAACGTGACATTAGATAAAAATGATTAACATCAAGTGTTTTCTCATACAGTTTGTGCTCCACATATTTTTTAAGTGAACAAGGCTGAAAGAAACTAAAGTTCTGTTCACTTTTTTTCAGTGGATAGAAGTTGTATTGTGTGTTATTTTGAACAACTCAGGTTTATGTGGTTATACTAAAAATATACTACCTCACAAACCATGATCTTGTTCAAGAGATAGTCGACTATAGCGGGGAGTGTGTAATTCAACACAGAGCCATGTGCGTAAGCCATTTAAAGCACTGTGACAGCTTTCAGGAGTGTTAAGCATACAGAGTAGTGTTGTGGTGTTTTTTCGGAACTGGAAAAGAAGTGCAATTGTTTTGTAATCGCCACAGCTGGAAGTACTTATTTGCTTGGTGGCTGGTTGGCTGGTGATTGATTTGCCTCACAGTGAAAGCCAGAAAACATATTTGATCCACAGAAATCGGGAACATTTGAGAACTTGCTGCACATCAGGTGGCACAACTGTTACTGTGACTTGCCCAGTTGTCATGGCAACTGTTTGGTTCCACCTGTAGCTGTGTACTGGAGGAGGGGGGGGGTCACTTTGTCAGCAGATTGGACGGCTTTGCCTTTTCTTGTCTGCATCACTGGGCAGTTGAACCAACAGCCTCCTGTTCTGCTGCGATAAGACTGAGAATAAAGTCACTTCTGATCGACTTTCTGTCTGGATCTCTACACCAGGAATCGGCATATGGATTCAATTATATCTAACCAGACTCACAGTTTGATCAAACATACTTGCTTTAGAGCTACAATAGCCTAGAGAGTCTTACAGAGAGAGGGGTATACGACACATACAGTATCTTTGGTAATATTCTTTATTCCAAACCCATATCAATTTGATCCCACTAAACTTGATTTAGTGTATTCCTCTGTGCCATTAACCTCAGAGGCGTTGAGCTAACAACAGCTCTTTGGTTAAGGTCCAAAAAAAGCAAAGGCTTTGGTTAGTTGTAATGCAATTCTATGTGCTTCAAATTTCTATTCAATTGACTTCAATACAAAAAAAACAGAAGATGTCTCTCTAACATTAACCGATTCACTCTTAACTTCTGTTTGTGCTAAAGACTACAGTGGCAAGCTGTTCGATTTAAAATACAAGATCAAAGTCACTCAAGTTTTCAGCCGCTAAGGACCTCTGTTAATTAATTTCTTGAAACAAACACAATTTGCAACTCTGGTTTTACACGACATCTATACATGCTCATGTTTCAGCATGCATGAGGCACAATATAAATGCACATTTCATCTATGTTACAGACTGCAGAAGGTTCTCGCAAAGACTAGCAGTCAAACCAGACTGAGTCAGACATTTTCACTCACTTTAAAACAGTAAGTTGCCTGGATGATTTTTTATGTATTATTATATTCCATTACAAAAATTCAAAAACATGCCGAAATGGGGTCTTTTTTATAAGTGCCATCCTCTTTGTTCAATTGTTCCCAATGAGGAGCAATATCAAGTTTATATATCTGCGTATTTGATACTCATTTCAAAACCTCTACCAAACTGACAAAAAATGTATAAAAGCCTTCTGTGGAGTTGAGAACAAAATTATATCAAAATAAATACATAAACGTTTTAAAAGTTTATACAAGTGCCAACTTCCATGAAAGCAAAATCACAAGGAAATTCGAGCTGCTTTCTTTCGCACATCACGGCAAAAGAGCAATAAAGCTTTAAAGAAATCCTGACTTTTAAAGCAGCCTCTTATTCCCAGGCCATGAGGTGTCTGTTTGTGGACTGATCACTTTGGAGCATGAAGCATTCTCCTACATATGCACAGTCGAGTACACACACACACATACAGGCATAGAGCGGCAGGTGCATCTGTGGCTGCTGCTCCCATTCAACTTCCTGCACCACAGTTTTTCAAACCTCAGCGTGTTCAATATGTCTTCACAGAACCATCCTCACTCCCCTCAAATGGTTTCTTATCTGTAAAAACTTGTTCTCCAGAGCCCAGTGAACTAGCAGCTGAGATAACATGTTCTCACAGGGTTTGGTACTTTGTGCCACATAAGCTAAATATTAGGTCATTGTTAAAAAGGGCCAGGTTATGTAAATGTTTTATGCATTTCAACAAACTGTGCTTGATGTTAAACAAAATGCAGAAAATATGAATACAGAGAAGTACACACAAACTTCAAGAGACAGGGACAGATCTGGTGTCTGTGTGCAATTCAGGTGCGCATGCCTCAGTGCGGCTGAGCCTCTGCGTCTGCTTTTATCTGTTAGCTTTGTGTGCACTGTATAATTCTTCCCAATGCATATGTAAGTGGGTAAAAGAGCTCTCAGTGACGCGAGGCAAGTCTGCAGAGAGAATGACCACGAGAACTGCAGTGGACTCAGGCAGAAAGTGTCTCTTACAGCAGGGAATTATGGGCCGTTTCAGGCATTAACAAGAAAAATGGGTCTTGGGTTGGGATTTAAATATTGAGACGGTATGATTCCCTAACAATGGCAGAAAGCTGGCACCAAAGAGAGATGTCCCTGTAGGTAAAGCTCTGCTCCATTTGATTTCTTTTTAGAAACAAGGAATAACAAGCAGTCCTTAATTCTGCGAGCAAGGAGCATGAGTAGAATTTAAGAGCGTAATTAAATGAGAGATATATTAAAACTCAAGGCTGTTTAAGTATTTGCTAGTGGTGTAATAACCAAATGTATCTAGAGTGAAGCCAGTGAAAAATGAAGGAGAAATCCCTCACTTAAATGTGTGATATATGATGTGTGTTGTTTATGGACTTGGTAGTTTTCTCACTATCTAGCCTCTTCATTAAAAATGAATGACCTATGATGCACAATAATATTACAATATTTTTCAACATTATTGTTGATTTCAATGTGTGACCAAAGGGAGAAAGGGGTGCATCTGATAATGAGTATTATCATGGGGAAGTGGTGGTGGCTGATGGTGGTCAGTTTTGCAAAGAGAGCTTACATTTTAGAATAAATAAAGTATTTAACTTGTACAAGTTTGATTCATTTGGGAACAAATGTGCACTGTAGGAGAACCCTACAAAGACAAGCACATATATTTTTGAGGCCTATTCAGTGATACTCTGCTTCAGAGACTTCGTTTTAGGTTGTTCAAGGAGTTTGGATGCTGCTATTCTTGTTAGCAAGTCCAATAGCTAGATCTATAGATGTTCCTGATTCTAGTTTAACCTCAAAATTACACATGTGCCACGTTCCCTCAAAAAGTAACAGGTTGTCTTATTGAGAATCCAGAAGCTCCACTTGAAGATATGAAAACTCATGAAGTCCAGCAGGCACACAGTCCCAATGCAAATCACCTGAGATCTATAGGAATTGGAAAAGATGACAGTTTCTACTGTGTGACAAGCTACTGTACATTTGAACGGAGAGAAAACGCAATACCCCACAATATGACCCCAAGAAAGCAAAGAAAGTTTTTTTTTGTATTAGCTACTGAGGGTATAAAGCCATTATTTCACTAACAGTGCCTGCAACCAACTCAATTTCTGATTACAAATACATGGTTTGTGGTCCTGCAGTGAAGTGATAATCAATCCTGTGACCCCGTGAGCTGTTTTTTGAAATTGAAGTGGGAAGATGACGGCCATGTGTAGGTGTAATGAAACTGCCTTGTAATGGCCAGGTGAACATTTCAAAAGAGCACACAAACACACACACTGAGCAAACTGAGCAAACAGAGGAAGAGAGCATCCATTACGATATAGTGCATTCACACACAAACACACACAGTCTCCCAGGCCAGTGCCACAGGTAAGGAGTTCCTGTGGAGGCTTTCAGCTGTGGCGCGTCTGCCGCCCACAAGCCAGATAACAGCGGCACGGCAATCACACCATGATGAATGAGCTGTGATAGGCACTGAAAATTGCTCCTTGGTGGCTTCCGAAGTTTGGTCCAGGGACTCTATTTCTCCAAAGTGAAATCAAAGCTCTGTGCTCAGCCAATTCTTTCTTTCACACCCACTTTCTGTTGTGAAAATATTGTCTCATTTGTACTCCCCCTGAACGGAAACACGCACACACACCTCCGTCGTCCCAAAGCTCTCGTGCCTTCCTGTGTGAAATTAGCCGTTCCATCTGAATCCCAATCAGTCTCAATGAGACCGGAGTTGTTCAGTGGCGGACTATGGCTATATGTCCTTCTTTCCCTCATTCCCACAGCTCCACAGCTGATAAGCCAGCCACTCAGAATAACACATTGGACCAATTGCCTCTGCTTACAGGCTACTTTGTGTCTTATCGTCTGATTAACAGAGAGGAGAAGGAGCTGAGCAACAGACAGGCTGTGTGTGTATGGAGGGATGAAGAAAGGCATGAAACACGGGCAGATGACTGAAAAGATGAACGGTTTTATCCAGTTCCAACATAAATCTGTTTTTACACCCTTTGATGTGATATCAAAGCTACAGTAAAACACACAAACTGAGCTTATAAACAGCATTATATTCTGCTCACAAATGTTTGAAATTACAAACAGCTGCTATTCTAATTAAAACAGGTTGCTAATGAATTGATGAGCAATTAATCACTGTTAAGAATTGGATCAGTCAAGAATATATTACCTGTGCCACAACATTTGTGCTTCGCTTGGTGAGTAGCTCGATATGTGTTTCAGTGGCTGGACTCAGAGATCAATGACTCGAGGTCATTCCAACTGAGCTGAAGTTTTTCTTCCAACAAAGTTCATTATACTTGCTTTACAGGATTGTCCGTTGTAAAATCTTCAACATTTTTATCAAGGGGGAGTTACAGCCAACAGCGCATGACTCACCAAACACCCTGTTCATATGCTAATGAATACAACTCATGAATACAATTCTATGTGGTGAGAATACAAAAAAACATGCTAAATGATGAGAACTCTTGGAGAGAGATCAAGATGCAGTGAGAGGCAGCCAGGAGGAGGAGGATACGTCAGTGGGGTTTCTGCCCCAACTTCAAGTGTAGCCTCCTGGAGCAGCTAAACACATTAACGCTATCAAATCTGGTCGGACGAAAACATCATGCAAATTAGTTTCGATTGAGGCATATTGAACCCTTTTTAATTAACAGAATGTTTCGGCTGCCCTGTGTGACAAGTGTCATCTGGTTTGTTCTCTAATAAGCCTATACATTTGCCCTTTTCGTAATAAAGACACACAGAGCATGGGACATTTTGAGTGATAGTATTTTTCCCTCTTATTCAAATAATGTTTATTTAATTTGTTTAAATGTCAGCTGCTTATATCAAGCCTTCAATGAGAAAAATAATTATTTTGTTAACTTATAATTAATATATTATGTTATTATTAATATTATATTCGTTAACAGGATTCATAATGTAGATTTACTTATCGTTAACACGGTTGGTAATTAAGGACATTTATTAAAAACTGCATCCCTCGTCACAGGTAGCAGAGTGAGAACTAGCACTCACAGGATCTATATTTACAACAAAGGCTGAGAATGGCTGACAGAGTGAATTATTAGCTCCTGCTGATGCACTGTGATGTACCATCATCTGAAGTACTCAGGGCAAAACAATCGCACAGCAGCAGTTCCTCTGATCCCAAGAGGACTGAGTTTGGATCTGAAAATACAAAATGGGTTTTTGATATGGTAATTGTCTGTCAACCACAGAATGTCAGCCACATGGAGATCAGATGAGGAGTTGAGCCGATTACAATGATACACAACCCTGTTGATGTGTGCGTATCAGCGTGCATAGAGTAGTACTCACTAATATTGTCGTGATGGTAAGAGTAGTGTTGAAGAGTGTGTCCGTCACGTTGATTGATGGAAGCTTTCTCTCCATGGACAGTCCACCTTCAGAGTGCCACAGGCCAATCTGTGAAAAGGACACACAAACACACACACACACACAGATCAGTCACTAAGTTGGAAAAGGCCAATAGAAACAACCTGTATTTAATTGCCTCTTTCCTTAAAGGACAATAAGTGTGACCTTCGTTGAAGAAAATGCAAGAGAGGGAGAAAGCAGTGGACGAATCACAATGTTTGGAGAAAAGGTGACAGCGAGAGTAAGGCAGTAGGAGAAAGATAAGACAACCTTTGTGTGGCTCCTTGAGGAGAAAACACAGGGCATGTGTTCAATCAGAGGCAACAAAATGCATTCATTAACCCAATTACCGGTAAATCCTGTGGCACAGAGCCACATTCTCATTTTCATTACAGCTCAAGAGGGGATTCTCACCTCCACCTCACATGGTGTCTTTCCTCCCATCCCCTATCAATCTGTCTCTGCCTTCATCGGTTTCATTCATTTATTTGTGTCACCCAAGTTTGTCAAACAACATGACGACAGACATGATAATTTTGTAACTCTATACTTATGCCTCTTGCTACTGTCAAATACACATGTCTCTTAATAACCTCCATCTTACCATAATGTCCTTGACAAAAAAAAATCTTGGCGATTTGTATTTTCTTACCTTGAAGGATTTACACGGCTCCTCTAATGGTTGGAAAAATTCTGCAACCTTGAAGCTTATTAAAAACTGTGCAAGCACTGGATAAACTGAAGAAATTCAAAGTTGTTCGGTAAAACCAAGAAGGTTTTTCCTGACAGCAGAGCTTTGACTTTCCCTGTGATAACCAATTCACCCGTGATGATGAGCATGAGCGTTTTATTATTCTCACTCAATACATCTATGCTTGTGATTATATGGTAAGAAGTATGTGACCCTTGTGTCACAACGTGTGCAGAACTACCAGCAAAACAATGTGGCTTTCCTTATCGTGGTGGCTTCACAAGCTATAATTTCATTTAAGTGGCTGGCGCAGAAACAGGCAATTTCAGTGTCAATATCAAGCAGAACAGTTGCTTTATGTGTTGGCACAGAAGATAACCTTAGATAAATCAAGATCAATGAAATATGCAAAATGTGTCTTTTTGTTAGTTTGCAAAACTAATCTCCTGTAGGATTTGATATATGAGGTGTATTCTAACTACTTGAGGTCAGGTATTTTTGTTTGAAATCAGTCTGTCTTATAATATGCAAACAAACTAGGAAAAAGGCAGCAATTTTAAGTCTTTTATAAAGAAATAACCTGTGAGGCTCATTAAGAAACATAATGGTGACAATTTCAAAACACTGTTTTTGGTCATTTACATTCAAACTCTGTTACCTACCTCATTATGTAAACATTGCCACCTCTGTCTGGAGAGAAATAATATCCCTTATCTCAATAATCAACCTCCCTCCATTATTAATATTACAGTGTATGTATACGAGGAATAAATGAGAGAATATGGCATTTAATTTAGCCTTGATACATTGTTGATGTGAAGCTATCTACAGTATGTCAATGAAATGAGTTCTCGACTACATGCTGGAAAACCTTTGGGAGTATTAATGTTTGGAAACCAGAAGATGAACAGTTGGAAGATCAGTGATTGAAGTTTGAAATGAAAAAAAAAAAAACTACAGTAAACAAAGCTCTCATTTCTTGGTCATAGTTTGCTTCAGGACTAAATTGCCCTAAAATTATCAAGGGATTACAGCCCATTCATCATGATCAGTGCCTGCATTTGGAAGTTGTTTAACCACTCTCTCCAGCTCTGATCATAAATTATGATGTGAGGTATAAAAAAGGTAGAGAGAGTTCCCGGAATCAAAGATTTCCTTTGAGAGTACATGATCAAAAGATCTTGCCTCCCATTTCCTCAGGTTTACTTGTTGGGAGAAACAGCACCTTGATCACACAAATAGACTATAGCTACCCAAACCTCTTGAACAACACACTATACACTCCTCTGATGACGGCCTCAAGAAACAGAGAGGTAGAACATGTGAGCGTATGGTGGCACGACCAAAAAAGAACCTGGGAAATATGGAGTTCAGCAATCAGCGTACATAATCAGTTGTCAGAGCCGGTGGGGGGTGGGCTACTTCTGGGCTCAGCAGGTGTCAGCAGAGGGCTGAGCATGGGGGTGACTGAGAGGTTAATGGGATGGGGTGGCACCACTACTCCTGCCCAGGACCAGGAGGTGAGAGAGATGTGGGAGCTGTGAGCAGGAAGGGAGAAGAAGAAGCATATGCTGGCGGGGGAGGAACTGGCTCTGGTGGCCCTGTTGCAACCTGAGCTTTGAGGGGGAGAGAATAGAGCTGTACTATCTGTGAGTCACTCCGACTAACAGGCAGGAAGATGTATACATCTGCTAATATAAGCAGGAAAGCACGGCCGGGAGCAAACCCACCGTTACATTCATCATTTAGACTGAAAACCTTTAATGCGGTGACTATTTAGTAATACTTCTGTAGGTTGTGCAAATTACAGAAAAGTGAATGGATCGCTAACCATTGCATTAATCTTGGTGAAGCAACACCACTGAACCATTGCGTGATATCTCATTATACTCGCAGCACAACCCGAAAATCTATTAGACTCATAAGCTTCATCAGAGAGAGAAGATGCTGCACATTGCCAAATATATATGCAAAATAATATATTTATCTATTTGATGTTTCTCATTTCAGTGTCATTATTTGGGTATTTACACTGCAATTACAATCAATAACCACAGTGCAATACAAGCAGGGAGTCTAGGAAACAAATTCAGACAATGTTCAGACTGTTGACGAGTACTGTGCACTATTTATTGTACTGAGGAGCAGGCTGGCAGGAAGAAGAATCACGAATAATAAGAGAGAGGGGAATAGGAGCAGAGCAAAAGGAAAAGACTGAGAGAAATAGAAATATGCAGGGGAATGTCAATCTTTTACTGAGTAGGTGCGGTGAGGCTGACGAACGGAATGAAAATCAATGAGAAAGTATGGGGAGCAGCCAGCTAGGGAGCCAGAACATCAGGCGGAGAGAACAAGGGAAAGAGACAGCATCTGAGAGTCAGAAGACAGACAGAGAGGTGGAGAGAGAGTTTATGCGAGTGAAAAATAAAGAGCAACAGCGAGAGAGCAAGGTAGAAGAGAGAGACCGACAGGGAAAGTGACAACAAGTGCAACGACGTTCCCTGGGAGGGATTACCCAGGGTTCATTCCGCAACCTGGAATTACAGCACGGGGAAAGATTAGGGAGGCTGCTCATTGAAGCGTCAGGATTGGCTGATTTTCCTGTCAGAAAAATGCCGTATCCAATAGGGTGTGGCGAGACAGCGTTGTGACAGACCCATCCATCACATATGAGAGAAGCAATAGCTACCATTATCAAGCATAATGTCATACAGCCCACTTCCACCCGGGCTAAAGCATTCAGGTGTCACAGCGCTGCAATGAGTCTGACTGAGGATGGATATGTGTGTGTGTGTGTGTGTGTATTTACTGGCTGTATTCCTGCATGTGTGCAGGTCTGTTAGCGGATGTGTGAATTGCAGAGGCAAAACAACCTTGCGGGCCTCTGAGGATGGACTTTTATTGCTCTTATAGCTACGTTATGCCACCTCAGCTTGATGAAAATATGCTGAAGTAGATGCAGTTCCTACCCATCAGCGAACATTACCACTTGTTGAATCAGCAGCTATCTACCGCATAAAATGTATATTTAGAGCTAACCCACTCTGCCTCACAATGATCGCATTGTTCAAATGATGAGCAAAGACATTGTATAAGTGTGTTAGTGTCTAACTGTTATGTATGTTTTCTCAACGGAATAGAGAGTGAGATAAATAGCTTTTTTTTAACCAAAACTCTCTCTGGTGTGACTCATCATCAACTCGGAATGAGAATAATCAGGGTGGTGCTTTAGGCAAACTTCATTGGGTGAGACAGACAGAGGTGGTGGTGTAGGTGGTCGACACTGCCCTACAGTAAAGATAGTTTCAGGGAAAATAATATCATAGAAACTCAAGTCCCAATTGAAGAAAAATAGGTAGATTTGTGGTATTTCCTCTTATACCTGGCAGCGGAAAAAAGCAAGAGTATTGAAAAAGTGGACGACTTTTAAAAACTCTTTTATCAAACTCTAAACTGTGATTTGCGCTGTAATTGTTGTTTCTGTACATAAACACACAGATCCACACAAATGCCATATTTTCAGCACACTCATTATTTGGCATTATGGAACTAGTTGTTCAGTCCTAGTAATGAGACTAACTCTGGGATGAAAAGAAGGTCTTTCGTCTGTCAGAGCAGATCTTCAAAGCAGCGCTCCATGTTCTCCAAGTGCTGCATCCCTAGTGAAGCAGACAGCAAACAATGGATGTCCTTCCAGCCACAGTCCCTGCTCAGTCTGTGTACCCCCACATTACTGACTGTCCAAATGTCCTCATCTCTAGCGACCGTGTTACTGCAGACATACTCTTAACACTAGGGGAAAGAACAAGACCTTTAGGGGTGTGTTCGCTTATTAACTTAGTCTAATCCTAATCTTCATTATCCAAACTGAAAGTCTAATGACAGAGGGTGTCTGGACAGACTGTAAGTCCCCTTGAGGCAAACAACCCAACTGGACAAAATGAAAACTAACATCTGAACTTAGTCTTCGGTGCGATAGTTATTACCGGGACAAATGACTCTGCAGTAACAGTCAGGTAATTATCACCTCAAGCTATAAGTGACAGTGATGGAAACCAATGGGTTGGACACATCTTTTCAGGCGAGATGATATGCTATACTGTATTTAAGCAATTATTACAATAAATTCATAAAATATTAAAGGTCCCATAACATGGCAATTTCTACTGATCATAATTCCATTGTTGAGGTATACTAGAATAGATTTACATTGTGCAATTTTCCAAACTCACATGGGTTTCTCATACAGCATCTCTGTATAGTATGTGTATTCACTCTCTGTCCTAAACGGCTTGTTGGAGCTCCTGTCCCCCCCCCTCCCTATGAGCCCAGTGTGCTCTGATTGGTCAGCTCGCCC